TGAAATATCACATTAAAAATTAGACGAAACAAAAGTCAAAAAGACGAAACATACAAATGTTCCAGTTCTAACCTTGGCCTTGCATCAATACCTCCACGTATAAACGCCCACGCAAAATTCATCAAAATGCTGCATATTAAACTGCATTATGATTCCGTGTAAATATTTGTGTTTGCAAATTAAAAATACTCAATGCTTTACTCATCCTAATTTTCTAGCAGCAGTAACTGCAATGAGGAATAGAAAGTTGCGATCAGTAAAGGGCTATTCACACTAGGGCCCATCTGAGCTAAAGGGACGTTCCCACTGGAGAGACAACGGACACAGCTGACCTTAAGTCACCCTTAATGGAGTTATCTGAGCCAACAGACACAGCTGACGTAGCTGACCCATCTCCAGAACCAGTTTTTTTCCCATAGTTGAAAAATCTGAACTGCAGGCATAGCGGAGCTAGTCGACACATGGAACTGACTCAGCTTACATAAACCCCAGTGTGAACGGCTATTTAAGGGCCGTTCCCACTGGGTTAACGGAGTCACCCATCTGAGCTAAAGGGCCATTTCCACTCTGGCTTCTCTGAGCTAACGAAGTCAGTTCCCTATGTCGACTAGCTCCGCTATGCCTGCAGTTCAAATTTTTCAACTTGCTGCCCAATGGGCAAAAACTGGTTTTGGAGATGGGTCGGCTACGTTCGTTGTCCCCGTTAGCTCAAATAAACCCCAGTGGGAACGGCCCTTAATTGAGTCAGGTTCCATCTGTCGACTAGCTCCGCTGTGCCTGCAGTTCAAATTTTCAGCTTGCTGCCCTATGGGGAAAACTGGTTTTGGAGATTGGTCGGCTGCATCACTTGTCTCCGTTAGGTCAGACAATCCCCAGTGTGAACAGCCCTTAAAGGGACACTTAGTCCCACTACGTACGATGACCCGCCGGGGTGCTCTCCATCGAAATTAGGAGCGAAACTGAGCAAAATCACACTGTCACCTGTAAGGTGCTCGTTGCCAACAGTAGACGTATCTTGAGCGCTCTTTGCCACGAGGAATTTCGTGGACTTGGACTGAGGTTACTGTCAGATAAGTGAGCATAAGTAAGAACAACAACGTCCGATGATGTTGCTAGGGCATCTAATGAAAATGTAACTATGAAGACGACCTCAAAGAATCGTTCATTTTTTTTAAACATAGAAACAATATTCCATATGCTTCATAAAATATCCTTTTTCCTAAATGGAGAAATCTAGCATTTTTTTCAACAAAGAATAATTAAACTTCAGCAGTGTCAAATTTATTGTTGCCATAAACGTACGCAGAGCTCGGAGATGTTACTCTCTTTGAAACAAAAATGAATGTTATGGAACTAATCCTATAAGTTCGGAATCGCTGTCCATCACAACTTTACAATTGTGGAGTTTGGGGAAATTTACGACTGTTTAATTGAATAAGATTCCATTTTAATTAATGCGATGACTGTACTTGATGCACTGATGCAATTTTTTTTTTTTTTTTTTTTTTTAAATTTTGGCATAAAACTGTTTAATTTCACTCTTAAATCTCCTTATTCAAATATTCAACCTGTAGTAAATTATTGATGTTCAACCTGTAATACACTTCCGTAGTAAATTATTAACTTGAGTAAATCCTGCCCCAGCTTGGTAAGAAGAGGAGAAAGTCAATGATGTTATGTTGTTCGGTAGCAGCTTTTATTCTGGAACACTTTTCTTGGATGATTTTTAAATTCCGAAACATACCTACGCGTGTGTTTTGAATAAGACTTATGGTTGAATATCCTTTTTCAACTGTTCTTGCGTCATAATATCGAGATCAGACATATAAGCGGTTTAGTGAATCTATGAGTCATTTCAGTGTCTTGGAAGCGAACGTTAAGATCCTTTACTAACTTTCGCAAAGCTTTCATATAACAGGATATCTTCTAAGGAAGTTTTGCTTTTTTCGCATTTGTGTTCTCGCGTTTTATCTTTTCATATTGCACATTTTGCTTAAAATATTTATATATTTAAAAAATAACTTAAATAATTGTTTATGTATTTTCCTTTATATTTATTTACGCATATATGATCTCTTTCTAACTCCATGATATCGCTTTATATCAATAAACAATTACTTACCAATATTAAAATATTAATAACTTTTGTAATTGATGGAATCTTCGTATGCCGATCACTTGCTCATGGATTTTCCTCTATTTACCAGTCCACCCTTCATCATCATTAACCCCCTTTAACACTTCGTCGAACCCAAGGGCTCAGTACTTACTCCGTCTGAAGCCCCTGAATTAAACAAATGTTTTTACTAAAATGTAGCAAAAATTGCAAATCAGCTTAATGTTTTACAGTAACATATTTAGTACTTGTCATTCGTCGGTTGCGTTTATTTGATCTTAAATTTTTATATATATTTTTCTTTTTTTACTCTTTTCTTTGCTTTGTTTTAAATTAAAGAATTATTTTAAAAGTTCTTTATTTTTTGTACTTTTTCCCCTGCAGCCTTTGATGACAATTAAACAAGTAATATAAATTTTTTTTAATGTTAATTCCTACATAGGTCAACAAAGAAAAATTTTACAAATACAAATAAATAAATAAATAAAATTAAATAAAAAAATAAAAAATAAAAACACAACAAAATATTTTTAATTAAAAATTTTAAAAATGAAAAAAAGTTTAATATGTGAAAAACTATTAACATCAAGTGTCCCACTACAATTTAAAACTTTATTTGAACTCGGATGTATAAAAAGTATTTTATTAACAACTGAAAATTAATTTAATTAATAAATTAATTAAATATTTTTATTTAATTAATTATTAATTAAACAAAAGTTATAATATTAATATAATTCTACTTAGGTCACCAAGAAAAATTTAAAAAATACAAAAAAAAATGAAGTTAAAAATTAAAGAAAATTTAAACATGTGAAAAAACTGTATTAACATCAAGTGTCATCCAGTATAAGTTTAAAAAATGTATTTGAACTTGAATGAATGAATAACAAGCATTTTATTAACGATGGAAAATTTGAACGCAAGTGATAGAGAGAATGTGAACTAATAGTAGGAATTTAAAAAAGAATATAGAGAGACATTCTGTTATATGGTTAAATAAAATTCCTCTTTCAGTTCAAAATGGGAAAAAAATATTAACTTAATGGGAAACAAAATTGGGAAAATGTGATCCTTTTTTTGAAACAGCAGAAGAGTAATTGACATTTTACTTGACCACAACTATCAGATATATTTCTCTTCTTTTCCTAGCCTATGATAAAAAAAATTTCCATTCCTTTACTATTTGTTTACTGTTGTTTAATGAGGAATTAATTTTTTTTTAGTACCAGTAGATACTGAATTTTGCGTTGTGCATTTTTGCATGTATATAATCAGTTTCAGTTCAAGTCAAATTAATTATAAATTTAAATTTTGAAAACTTAGAATTTAGAAATTTGCGTCTATTAGCTTATTAGCACTTAAGAAGTAAGACTACAGGTTAGTAGCAGTGGGAATCAGACCATCCGAGGAAATAGAAAGATCTGGTCAGAGAAGGTTTTTTTTTTTTTTTTTTTTTTAAATTTTCCGACAACACAATGCCATCGCTTAAAAATCAAAATATTAATTTCTCTCTTTTTTGCAATAAATTATTTACCTAGTGGCCTTTAATGTTTTTGAAAAATCTTCCGACGATTCGTTTCCTACAATGCGTAATTTATTCTTTTCATTTTAAGATTAACTTCCGCTGCATTTTTACTTTTTTTAATTAAATTAAATAACAAATCAAATATTAATTTTAAAATCCACTCGCAGTCCTGCTCTGACTAACTGACCGACAAAGATCGCGGAACACTGTTTAACAGTCATTGATCCATATCATAAATTATTATTATTATTATTTAGGTGTTCCGATCTAAGACACTACACGGAAAGGAGGATGCCTTCGTGGAGGATTTTCTAAGGGAAACTGGCTCGTACTAAGACGTTACTCATGGGGAAAACCACGAAAAAGCGCATGCAGCCCGCCTGTTCGCGGAATTTCGCGAACAGGCGGTAACTAGCGGTAAAGTATCTGAAACAGTGTTCAGATACTTTACCGCTAGGTTGCTAGTGGACATCTACATCATAAAGGAAGCGATTTTCTCGAGATATCAAAATGTTCTGAAAATTTAGGAATTGAGTCAATTAAAAAGTTTCCAAGACAGCTTCAGGATTAATTACTATTATTAAGGTAAAATAACACGCCGAATAAATATTAATTTAGCAGCTGAGGATAATGGTTCGGTAAAGCCATTGAAACTAGTCCTGTGAAAATTTGCAAAAATAACGCTTATTTTTGTTGTTTGATTTCCAAGTCAATTACTATTACTTCTAACAGATTTTATTTCTCCGAAAACTATTTCATGTCAGATACATTCCCACATCAAACCTTGTATTTAAATAAGGCCAGCTGATCTAACAATTATACCTCTCAAGTGGGACTCTATTCTTGAAATTTCTATTTAACTACATTCGTGGCAAACACTTTTTTAATTATTAATGCAAACTATTTGAAACAGTCATATTTTCAGCTATATCACAAGAAAACATGAAAATATGATTTTTGACTTCATCACAGTCAAGCATCACATTTTAAAGTTTGGAAAATAATAAAAAAAAGTATAATTTTATCTTTTGTAAATACTGCGCATTGATCAAGCATTATAATAAAAATTTGACAGTTAGAGAAAATAATAATTATAATAATTCTGTTAATATAAGTATTTAAATGTAGTGAATGATATTGCTGCAATTAAACCGCCACCGTGAAAACTGAATAACAATCAGATTATCGCTCAGCTCCTCCTTCCATTTCCTACAATAATCACAAAAATAACTAAAGCCAGTCTACAGGATGTGACGTCGGGACACTCCCGCTTTTCACATTACGCATGCGCTAGCCACTGTGACGTCTGATGCAACTTCTACTAGACTTCCGCCAGCAAAATGCTTTTCTCCTAGAGAGCGTGTTTTAAACGTGATGGCTTCCAACTTTGACAGCTCAGATCGTAGTCGCCGCACGTTATGTAAGCAACGGGAGATGTCTCCACACTAACTGCTTATTACCAAACTATATTCTACGCCAAAGAAACAGCTTTTGATAAAATGGAAAACGAAAAATCAACATCAGTCAATGGCCGCGCTAAAACAGAAACAAAACAAGCCGGAGAGGTGCAACTGAAGAAGAAAATAACTCTGATAAATGGCGTTGCCATCATCGTAGGAACCATTATAGGTTCAGGGATCTTCGTATCCCCGAAAGGTGTTTATGAACATTCGGGTTCGCCGGGGGTGGCTTTGATCATATGGACCTTATGTGGGGTTTTCTCTATGTTTGGCGCTCTCTGCTTTGCAGAGTTAGGAACATGCATTACTAAATCGGGAGGAGACTATGCTTATATTATGGAGGCTTTTGGACCAGCATTAGCATTTTTGAGACTGTGGGTCGGTCTTTTCATAATACGGCCAGCTACGCAAGCAGTCCTGGCCCTTACATTTGGTTATTACATACTGGATCCTTTTTATCCAAACTGTAAGCCACCAGAGGAAGCTTTGAGATTTCTGGCAGCTGTATGTTTAGGTAAGTGTTCGAAAATTCTTTATTTATTTATTTAAATTATTACTAAAGATGTTTTTAATTTTCGCGATAGTATGATAATTATATCACGTGTTAGTATTATAAATTATTCACGTGATAGTATTATAAATTATCATTTATTTATATATTTATTTAAATTAGTATTAAAGATGTTTTTAATTTTCGTAATAGTATGATAATTATAATTATCATTTATAATTATTTACAATATGAATGAAATACGTATTTTTGAAAGGAATTGTTATCAGTCACTTGGAGTTTTAATTTTTAGTATGATTACGGTAGTTGAAGAAATCGGTTGCTGTGTGTCATTACAATAAATGTTTAGATTGCCGTAGGGAATTGTGTAAAAAATACTCTTACGATTTTAATGACGAACAAAAACACTTTTTTTTTGAAGTACTATGGAAATGCATGTTTTGATTATTCTTAAAATTTATAAAGCCGAAATTGCGTAGAATCTATAAATTACGATTATATCCTTTGGAACTTTAGATCTTAACTAATTCATTCTAGGGAAAAGCATTATCAGGAAGCGAAATATCTATAGAATAAAGAGGGTGCACTTTTAACAATTAATATTACTTATAAAGTAATATTAAAAGCCTAGATATTACAGAGAACTGCAATGCTGACATAGTTCTGTTTTTAAATGGCTCCAAATTGTTGCCATTCACAAGTTACTAAATATTAAATGTTGCCATCTACAAATTACTAAATAGTACACCTTTTTTTTTTCCCCACCGACCAGATGATATAGTGGTTAGTGAAGCGGACTGCGATACCGAAGGGCCAGGGTTCGAATCCCGGACAAGGCATGGATGTAAATTGTCAGTCCCCTCATAGGAAGTAACGGTGGCCTTCTGTTAGGTGCCCCCATAATAAACTGGCCCCCACTTCTCGCCTTAGTAGTGGTGAAAGCTTAAAAATGGCAAATGCCCTCAGTAAAAGATAAATAAATAAATAAATTAAAATTTTTTTTTTTTCTTTTTATGGGGTCTAAATACCTGCCAGCTTTCTAATTTCTTTCCCACTTCTAGTTCTTTGCTCACCATCCCTTGTTTCTGAGTTAGCAGAGCTTAGTAGTTGATATTCTAATCTTTGCTTTTGAGAATATCTAGAATCATACTTTTTTGGTTCAAAAGAATAAATTGAATTTAAATACAAATTTGATTAATTAATTCTTTGCGCCATTGCTGCAAGGAATGAAATTTAAATTTTAACAAACATGTATATATGTAAAAAGAAAATTTAAAGTTAAAATAATTAAAAAAGTGCAAACATATAAAATATTAAATTTTCGAACTAATCTACAATATCATTTAAATTCAGATAGCATAAGTAAATCAAGTGCAAAACAAACCATAATCTGAAAGCTTTCACATTTTACATTACACCCAAAGGGACTTTACCCTTTTTTCTTTTTTTTTCTTTTTAACGTTTTGTGTGTTACCTTTATTTATTAAATATCATGTTTTTCGCACTTAAACCATAAAATTCAATTCAACAGCAATATCGCAAAATAATTTTAAAACGAGAATATCTTTAGAATTTCCGATACACAGTCTCGCGCGCTGGAGATAAAAATGTGTGTGTGTTTTTCCGTATAAGGTGTTGCCACTGCTCGCTTTGAAATCGCTGAATTTGCTATCAATAATTCATTAAAGTGTTACAAAATATGAAATCGGTAATAAAACAAATTCTAAATTAGAGATTCCAGATGCCCATATTCGGTGGAGGATTACTTTATTCAAAATTGGATGGCTCTAGATACCGTTGTTCTGTCACAATGCGAAAAACATACATACATTTATGCAGATGCTTCATTATTTAATTTCTTTAACTATAACACAGGGCGATAATATTCGGTGGCAACAATCTGAAAGTGAAACGGACATTTTCAATGCAAAATGCCAAAGCGAAGTTAATAGCCTTATTGGGCTAAAAAACATCGGAACACTATTAGTCAATACAGAAAGGAGCATTCCAGAAGTGTGCAAGTTTTCTTCAGTTCTGCTTGATTTATATCCACTATCTTATTTCAATACAAGCTTATATTCTACTTATTACTTCTACATACCCGATTTCTGTTAGATAAAGAATAATAATTGTGCGATTATTATTCTTGAACGATTATTATTCTGAAACACTTGATTATTATCTACTTTATTCCCGAAATGCTGCTTTTTGCAATTAAAACCAGCGTATTTTAAAATATAAATTGAAATACTATATTACAAAGATGACGCTAATCAAAGTTTTTGTCAGTTAGAATTGTCAAATCATGACCATCATGTAACAATAAACCATACTATTTCGTTATGTGCTGCACTGGCAATTTGTCACTGAAGAAATGTTTCCGAATATCTTATCTGACAAAAGTGTTTACGATATCAGATTGACGATGTTTTAATTTCGTCCGTGTGTTTGTATGTTTACTGATATGTTTTTTAGAAGTCTTGATTCATGCCGCTAACAGAGAGTGGCGATTTCCGTCTATACTCAAAATCTTTCTCAGAATAATACGAATGACCTTGAAAGAGATAAAGAAAAATTTCTGCGATTAATCGAATATGACAAAGCATTAAAAAATTACTGCGTTGTCTTTCTTGTAGGGCAGGAATTATAGCAGATGTCCTCGCAGTTACAGTTAACATAATTTCCTGTGTAATTTTTAAATACTTCTAAATATCAATTATAATCAGTTTTAAATTCTAAGCATGTTTTCTCACAAAAATTAAATTTTAGGCAGTTTGAATTTGTAGTTTAAATGTTTTTCAAATAGACAGTTTTCACTTTGTAACATATTTACGTTAAGCATAACTATGAAATACTTCTCTGTACCTTTAACACTAAATTAATGAATTTATTATGATTTGGTTAATCGTTTTTGCTCATTACCTATACTATTTTCTTTATTATTTGCTATTGTTCCTAATTAGCAACATTTATAAAAAAAACTACTGAAATGATTTTTTTGATTTTGCGTAATTACTCGTTTATTTCACTTACACATTGCGTAGAAGAGAATTTTAAAGTAACTGATTTAGCGTAAAAACAATTTGCTGCAGTAGCCGAGTGATTAACACCGCTTCGGTTCAGGTTGATTACATTTGTATTTTCGTTGTATCCTGACGTGTGCAAGACGTGACGTGACGTGACGTGACGAAATGCAAGAAGCTTTTCTTAACGTTCTTCGTGAAGACATCCCTTTTCTTAGGCTGAGAGCCCTCGTCTTTGTCGAACTCTAATTGAATAAATGGAATAATTTAATAGTCTTTGTTTGAAAACACATATTTCGGAGTATTTCTGATTTCCTTCAAATTTCTTGGCTTAAAAGTCTCAATTCGCAATAATAACTTGGTTATTCCTTAACAAAATCTAGAGACTAGATTTACGAATGGTGGTGTATTTAATTATGGCAAAGCACACTGGGGCTATCTGCCTAAGGGGAGGGATGCCTTCGTGGAGGACTTTCTAAGGGAAATTGGCTCGTATACACATTTACGAATGTGGATTGTGAAAAAGATTATATAACGGTGAACTAAGAGAGATAGTGATGATTAATTAGAGAAAGCATATGTGTGTTAACACGTGGATGTCCGATTTGCTATTAATGGGCGAATGTACGAAAAAAACTATATAGAACATTTTAGATGTGACAGATTTTTTTTTAAATTTCAAACTAGAACTAATTAAACAGTGAATCTTCGGATTATGGTAACTTGGCGATTTTTGGCGAAACTTTGGCGACCAATCCTGCTACAGCAACCTGCTAGTTTTTTTTTAGACGCCATTTTGTTTTCACGAAGTAAAGGCGTTTTTTTTTTTTTTTTTTTTTTTTTTTTTTTTTCTCTAACTCAACATTTTTTCAATCTGCTAGCCGAATTACGCTTATGCTAGAACTTTTATGGAACAAAAGTGCTTAATCATGACGAAGATTAGGTGCGAAATTGGGAGAAAGTGTAGAATCGCCCACTGCTTGCCGTGTTTTTAAGAATTGCACATACGCGGTATCCATGTACACGTCGACTTATTTTCACTTAAAAAAAATCCCAGAATTGCACGAAAATGGCATTGCGCACACTCTTTATCCATGTATACATCGACCTATTTTCGCTTAAAAAAGTCAAAGAAAATTGACAAAAATCCAATTCTTCTTACTCTTGTAAAAAGCGCCAAACAAATAAGTGGGCGATTCTGCACTTTAGCAGCGAAATTATTTCTAAGTGCTTGTTAGCTAAAATCACGATTGGAATTTTCCGGAAAATGTCACATGACATGTCTCATGATCTCTCATGAGACAAAATAATCTGTGATTCGAACTGTGTACTTCTCAGATTATTACTAAAGTCCTAGCTAGTAACCTTTATTGCCTTACCAAAATGTCGCCAAACTACCTGTTACCATATTCCAAAGATTAGCCATTAAAGTAACAAAATCCGAGGGTAAGGGGAACGGATTTGTATATGTTCCTAATTATTTGCCTTAATTTGGCTAAATGTAAACTAGTTTATAATTGTTATTATAAATTGCAATTACAATTGCATAGCCGCCTGCCTCCAAATACGAAAAACTGGGATGGGAATCGAACCTTAACCACATTTTGCTTTTCTCGTAACTGATTTCTATGCTGAATATTTTAGTGAAATTTTGTCCTTTGTTAAGTTTTGTATTTTATAATTATGTATAATCTCAATCTCTCAGTGTACTTCATCTTAACGTATAAATTGTATTTTTATTAATATTTGCAGGGGGAAAATATTCAAATTTTGTAATTATAGAGTTATCGGATGTTCAGATAAAAGGGGCTGACCCCCTATTTTAAATCATATCTCCTTTTTTTTTCAGTAAATTACCAAATCCCCCGACTTTTAATTTATCTCAGTTTAGATCATCTCTTTAAATGCAACTGTAGTGACATTGTTAGTCGCCAAATTTTAGAAAACGCTTGCATTAAATTTCATTAACTTTAAATTTAC